GCCCGGCTCACAGCTGCACACATCCGGCGTCTGGCAGTAGCCGCGTCCACAACCGCCGCGGCAGACCGGCTTGCAAACTGTGTCGTTGATCGAGATGTTGCCTTCATAACCCGCGCAGCAGAAGCGTATCGTGCGCGTCTTTGTGACATTCTGTGGAGTAGAAAATATTTTTGTTTATTTTAAGTGCCTAAAAGTATGCAGTAGTCACATGATAACACAAGTAACACTGCACAGTCAGTCTGAAAAGTAAATGTACGGTAATAAAACAATTCCTATAGAATGTATATATATACTATATATGCATAAATTTGGCAAAACAAAAAAAAACTTATAAAGCGAGTTGGTTTGACTTTGAAGTGACTTATCTCCAAAACTATTAAAGCTTTTGAATTGTATCCAAAAAATAATAAAAATGTCGTTTTCTATTTTTCATAAGGTAATTAAAATATATTTTAAAAATTTAAATTTTCGCAAAAAATTTTAAAACTCAAAATAACTCCATTTTCGAAGACCAATAACAACTTGACTTTGAAATGAATTATCTCCAGAGCTTTAATCGAGCATTTGAGTTGCGTTAAAAATTTGAAAAAAGCTGTTTTATTAGGTTTTATATTATAATATATGTGGGGCTCGTACCCTACTGCATTCACCAATTTCRAAATAAGTACACAAGTTTGTTAATCCACTTCTTTAATTATAACAATTAAGTACACTTCATTTATAAAATATAGTCAATTATAAAATATAAGTAGGTTTCACTTTCACAAACAATTCTTCTTGCGTTATTCACTTTTTAGTTCTCAACCTTTTCATTTACTTGCTGCGCACGTCTGTTCTGTTTGATGACCGACTTCCCTAACTCTCGCTTGCTCGCCGCGCACGTCTGTTCTGTTTGGTGACCGAACTCGAACTCCTCTGCTTTAGCTCATCGCGATCAGAGCAACCTACGCTGTCCTTTCCGTACTGTCCCTATTCTTATTTTCCCCTTCTGCCAGGGATGCCATCCCACATATATTTAAAATTTATTTTTAAAAATGCAGCTTTATCGAAACTAACTCCATTTTTGAAAACCAAAAAAAAAAAAAAAAAAACACCTACAATATGTATAAATTGACATTGTATGTATGCCATTGTTTTTGTTGTTGTTGTAGCGTTTGAAAACATTCCTGAAATAACTTCGAATCATGTTGTCGATTTGACAGTCCTTATCCGGATAAATTTCCGGGTTCGTTCTGTTTACATACTCCCGACAGTCATGGGAACGGTGTATGCTTTTGTCCTATATCTTGGTTGGGAGTATTTTATTCATAGAACCACCAAATTTAGTGTAAATTTGAGTCCATATTTCCAAGAGGTAGCCATAATCTCATTTCTGTTGTTAATGTTGCCCTTTCGTCACTTCGTCTCCACATAAGCTTTCAAGTGTTCAATGAGGTTCTGAGCACTTTTTCATGTTGTTCAAKTATAATTCCTCAACCACTAAAGCATAATACTTCGGGTCGTTAACCTGATAAAGCAATAGCCGCGATTCAAATAATGCCCCCAATAATTTTTTAATTTTTTTGCTCGAAAAAATTATTAAAATTTTTCAAAAGAAACCGCAAATTGCCAAAGAGGTAGAGGTTAACCCAAGAAACATTTATCGCATTATTAAACGCTTTAAAGAAGATGTGCGTRTTGACAGGACGAAATGTTCTGTTAAAAGAAGGGGTCACATAGTGAGAAAGTGAAGAAGGTTGTAACCATTCTCAAAAAAGATCCAAGCATTTCAAGCAAGAATTTGGCGAGGAAGGCTGGCTACTCATAATCTTTCGTACGCAGGACGAAGAAGGGCCTGAAGATGTACAGGGTACAGATGAAAGTTTTTGTTAAGAAATTCGAATGCTGCATAATGGATGATGAGAGCTAC